AAGAACTAAAAAAAAAAAAAAAAATCTACATGATTGCTAATGGTGCTAGCAATTTTTCTATTAGCTTATCTCCCACAGATCAACCTCAGAAATCTCATCATTGCAGTTCCTTGGGGCCTGCAAAGGACTGGGGGGAGGGAGGGGGGCTGCAAAGGACTGGGGCACGGGGACCCAAATTCCAAATTTCAAATATGAGAGATCTTCAAAAAGTTCATAGAGAAGACAGGGAATGAAAAAATCTATATATGGGTTTTGGGAACCAGCAGTTAGTGTAATGGCTATGTCTCTGGACTCCCACGTAGTCTACTGCGGTCTGAGTCCCGGATCTGGTGGCTTAAACTCCTGGAGAGTGATGGAGGAGAAGGGATTGCGGTGTGACCATCCCCCCCGGAGGGTGATTTCTCGCTTTCTGTCTCTCTGTCTCTGTCTGCCTGGCGAGCGCACGCGCCCTATAGTGAAAACCTCTCCAAAAGAAAAAAAAAAATCTATATCTGGGTTTCAAAATTTTGTGCCCCAAATAAACCCATACTTGAATTGTTTGAACTTTTAGAAGTCCCCTCATTTGTGATCCAAGCTACATCCCTTGAGAGTTCTTCCCTGGGACTTTTTACTGAAGCGGAGTGCCCAGTGAGTGTTGAAACTATGAGGTTCAGGTGTGTGCCTATGGTCCTGCTCCAGAGTGAGAGAATGAGCAGTGTGTTTAAACCCTAAGTAACAGGCCAGGGCGTGATGCTGAACCAATGTAACCAACTTGGCCAAAGTTAGATATTTGACGGGGGAGCACATTTGGAAATTCATTGTGTGAGCCATGAAATGTAAGGAACGCTCTCTGGGCTCGGACCTAGTTGGCGATGATACGGCTAAACGCACCAAGAAGGTCGGCGTCGTCGGTAAACACGAAACCAGCTACTGTGCCTCCCTCTGGAAAATGGTGAAGAAAATTGAAATCAGCCAGCATGCCAAGTACACTTGCTCCTTCTGTGGCAAAACTAAGATGAAGAGACGGGCTGTGAGGATCTGGCACCGTGGTTCCTGCGTGAAAACGGTAGCCGGTGGTACCTGGACCTACACCACCACTTCAGCTGTCACAGTAAAATCTGCCATCAGAAGACTGAAGGAATTCAAAGACCAGGAGAAGCTCCATAGACATTTGGAATATCACTAGCCTGCAATAAACAGGTTTATTTATTTATTTTTCATTTTATTTTTTTTTAATGTAAGCAGCAAGGAACACAAGAGGCAAGAAGCTTTGAGTGAGGTCAATAGCATTTCAAGAATCCATGACAATACAATTTTCTTGAGGATTAACTTAAGCACTTCCGACTTTTGTAGCTGATAGCGCTAATATGTCTTTAAGAAAGTTAAAAGGCAGGCGTTGGCCGCGTCAGCAGGTGGCGTGAAGGTTAAGGCAGCTGGATCTCACATGGCTAACGACTGTGGTTCGAGTCCTGGACTGTGCTTTTTTTCCCCTCATTTAAAGGGTTTTTTGTTTGTTTGGTTTTTTTAGTTTTTTGTGGTTTTTTTTTTTTTGTCTCCACACACCTTCTTGCCTGGCTACCAGTCGCAAATCCCAGCTTTCTAAAACATCACAATTCCCCGTCTGTGGCCCAGTCAGCATCAAACACTGCTTCAGTGCCAATGCCACAGCTGCGTGCGGGGACCGCAGGAAAAGCACAGTCCCGTTGGCGGAACTCGGAGTTGATCCAGTCAGATCCGAAGCTGATCCTGGAGGATTCACTTGCTAAACACAGGCCTCTTAACCTCGGGTCATGGTCGTCCTGTAGGGGCACAGGGAAACCTCCCGGACTTCTGCCACATTGCTCCGAGGTCGACCACGAGGCGCTCTGGCACTGCAGTGCGGTGGAGAGACCGTAATCCGGAGCTGGCGAGCTGGGGACTACGGTCGGGGGGCCTGCGGGAGGCCACCAGGGGCAAGTTTTGCTGCCCTAAACCGAAGAGTGCTACTCCGCACCAGGATGGTGTGCCTGGCGGTGCACTGACGAACCCGGGGAACCGGAATCCGCAGTGACCTCCGTAACTGGAGAGAGTTTAGCCCTGAGAAGGAGGGTGGAGAGGAAAGAGAAGCTTTCAGGAATGGCTGCAAGGGAGCCAGTCTGAAGGGCTTTGGGAAGGATAGCAGAGGGTGGACAGGAGGCGTAGGAGGAAAGTAAACTAGCGAGCAGGCAGCTAGTTAAAGAGCAGGAAGAAGGCTCCTCTTGTCCAACCGTTGCTCGATGGTGATTGCAACGCCTCTCCCGCCCCCAGCCAGAGGCTCACCAGCAGTGATAGCCACCGAGGTGGTGACCCCTACAGGGTCGAACGGTCCACGTGACAGAGGTCAGTACCCTGGCTCATCCCCGACTCTCGGACTATGGAGGCTCCGGTGAGGAGCAGCAGGGATCTGGTGCAGAAAGCACATACTGACTCCGACAGAGGCTCCGAACATGCAGGGCGGCTTCCCATCCTGTCCCTTAGGCCCCTCCCCAGGGCCTGACACGGCCTTTCCTAAGCCTGTTTGTTCATTCCCCTCCCATGCTCACCAAGATGCCTCTCTGAACCGATGGACAGGAAATCGTCGAGGGATTTCTTCCCCGGTGGACCCTCGGAACAAGCCGCAGTGCAGGTTGCAGTAAGCCACCCAGTGGGGCAAGAAGGATGTGAAGCGGCAGGAGAGATCATCTAGAGGCTGTTCAAGGGGAGTTGAGGGGAGCAGAGATGCAGCTGTGTGGGAGTAAGGGAGAGAATTCAGGACCAGTCAACTAACCTTTGGCCACATGTACCTTGCCCCACCACCCCTCTTCTTTCTTCCTTACCTGTTTTCATTTCTTGGTTTCTTCTAGTGTTCTGGTGCTCCAGATCTGCCTGTTTCTCATATAGCTCTGTTCCTCATGGCCTTCTGGAACAGGCCTGCAGCTTGCAGAACCTCCAAGAGTGTAACAAACTGCTTAGTATCTCAAAGATGTAAAGTGAACTATAAGATCACATAAGCCAAACCAAGGCCATGGCAGTCCTGTTCCTTCCTGTCTTTGTTTTGGAACACATGGTTGTATTTTATATGCCTTTGTCTCCAAAACAGCTCTTTAGTCTTGCTGGCATGCTGCCATAAGATCAGCACCTTGGGACACTGAGGCAAGAGGATCGGAAATTCAAGCCTAGCCTGAGTAATATAGCAAGACCCTGTGTATAAAATAATAATTGAAAAGTTGGAGTGGGTAGGCGGTGTGGTGACTAAGGGTGCTGGACTCCCACATGGTCGACCACGGTTTGAGTCCCTGGACCTGGTGGCTTGCTTTCTCACTTTCCATTCTCTCTCACTCTCATTCTGTACCTCTCTGGTCAAATTAAAATAATAAATAAAATAAATAACATTAATTTAATTAAATAATTATTAAAATACTCTTCTTAAAAAAATAATAATTGAAAAGTCAAATACCCCTTATCTGCTCCTATTTCTCCATGATCCTGTAGTGGAACATATAAATTGGAGCACGGGGGCTCCCAAGTGGCAGGACTTCCTTAATGCCAGTCCCTGTACCTTCTGTGGTAGGGGTGAGCCACAGGGGGTGGGAAGGTGTATGGGGAACCTGTGTGACTTTGTGTCTGCCCCAAAATGTCTGTCTACCCCTCTCAGTATCTATCTCAGAGTGTCTCTATCTTACACCAAAGAGAGGGGGTAATTTGGTGGGGAAGGACTCCCCCACCTGGAATCATAGGGGAGCAGTCCTCTACCACCACCACTACCTTCTGTTTCCGGACTATATTCCTTCCA